CTGTTACTGCTCTAGTATGTTAAACAGTGGGACAGAGTAGTTCAGTCACCCGGTAGGACGAGACCTAGGAACTCTAAAAATATTTCTATGTCAGATTTAAATGATGGAGCCTGTGGTATTTCAGCATTCACAGTTTGGAACTTAAGAGCACAGTGGCAGGCACACAGCAGGTGCTCAATATATAGTTGATGATTACAAACTAAAAATATTACACTCTGCAATAAATCATCTCATTACACCAAGACAAGCTATTTCAGGCTTAGGAAAACAAGTTATATAGCAAGTGCCCTAATTTTTCATTTATAATGAAGTGATGATTTTTTTGAACTGAAAAATATCCTTAGGAAAACTTGGAAATAGTGGAAATTATGATTTAGGGCCAGTTCATATCTAGCAATATAATAGTCAAAAACATTTGTGCAGTTTCTCAGGAATTTTCATTACCTCATACCTAATGGGGATGGGGGTGGGGATGGGAACAAACCTAAATACCTCGTGAGGGCATGATTGAGTTTATTTTTGTTTACTTCCTCCACAAGCACAGATGCATTCTCGTTCTTATTCATATCTCTCCATACTCAATGCTTTGAAAGCTTTCAGTTTTAAACAAAACTTTGGTAGAATGCTTGTAGTAAATTCCTCTAAAATTATTTTAATGCTTATTGACAAACAATATAAGGTTCATTAAAAAAACACACACGCTGTTCATCCAGTATCCCTCATTCTCACTACATGATAAGGCCCATCTCTTTTCCCAGCTATAAGTGTTCTGGATCATATATAGTATACTGCTTCTCACTCTAACGTGTTAGAAATGGCAATAAAGTTGGAGGCAATATGGTATAGTAGAATTGTTTTATTCTTTTCACATGTATCCTTATATAGTCTTAGTGCCTAGTATAGTGCTTGGCATCAGGTAGGTACTTAAAACTTTTTTGTTTTTAAATCCTCTATATTTCTAATGTGTCCCTCCCCTTTTCCCTCCCAGAGAGCTGTTTCTTGCAAGAGAGAAGAAAAAAGAGAAGGAAAAAAAAAGTTTGGCAAAACAAATAGATGAGTCAATTCTGAAATTACATGCAGTGTGGTTCCACATCCCTAATTCCTGACCCCTGAAAAGAAGAAACGTGCTCTCTCATATCTCTTCTTTAGGTCATGCTTGGTCATCATATTTTCCCAGCTTCCAACTGTTCTGTTGTCCTTTCAGTTGCATTATTGTAATTTTGTTTTCCTTGTCTACTTAAGCAAGAAGTGGGGAATGATCAAGAAAATCAAATCATCCCCTCTCACTTGAAGCACTTGATAAGATGCTAAGCCCTGTTCCCTTACCGGAGGTGTGAAGACTGCCTTGAATCAATCAGTCAATAGCTTTAGACTAAGTGTCATTGATCAATTAAGAAGTCCTTGATGATCACAAGATGAAATTGAGTAAGGTTGCTTGGGAAGTCTATTAGGATTTGTTGAGAAACTTGGTGATGCCCTAGAAGACTTTTATAAAATCAAGAAGCTAGTTTAGAATATAGGATTTGTGTGTGTGCCAGAATAAAGGAGAGTCCTTCCAGGTAAGGTCCTAAGAAGAAATTGCTGGGGGAGGGGGAAAAGGGAGAAAGAGAAGGAGATGGGGAGGAGAACATCATCCTCAGCTTTGGTCTCCTCCACAATCCACTGGACCAGAGGAATATCTTGTGAACTTCAGAGGGTTATGAGTTTGGGGGCTTCCTGCAGCAGTCCTGAAAGCACTCCTGAAATTACCAATATGATGTCTGATTTGAGAACTAAGGACAAACTGGACAGACTGAATACAAACAACTTCCATTCTATAAAGAGTCCAATAGAGGAGAGATATTAGGCCTAAGAGGAACTTCACAAACACCCCAAAAAAGGGACAAAGAGACTTCCAGTATACTAGACTTGACATATAATGCTCTCTGAGCATTATTAGCCCACTTTCCCCTGGATTCATTATGTGTCACAGACTTTTGGTGGGATGTTTTATACCAACTCTTCTTTACCACCTCAGTAAAACCTCCCTTTCTAAAAGCTATTTAAATCTAGCTAACTGATACTAACATAATCATCAGAGAAGCAAACTGTTGGGGGCTCGTGAACTTAAAAAGACAAGCCCAGAATCCTGAGGGGAGATGTGGCAGCCAGGCTTTGGGGACCCAGTCAGGCAGGAGGTTCAGAGTGAGAAGGGTAGTGTCAGAGCAAGTGCTACAGTATCCTTTATTTTAGCTTATTTGGATCTTCCTTTCCTTCTCTTTATTCATCATATGTGTCATTTCTGACAGTATGACACTATTTCACAACTTATTTAGTGACTCAGCCAATAAGTATATACTTTTGTTTATAGTTCTTTGCTACTATAAAAAGTGTTTCTACAAATATTTTTTGGTGTGCATGGGGCCTTTTTAAAATCATTGATCTCTCTGGGATACATGCCTTGAATTCTAAGGTTTATTGGAATATAATTGTGCATACAAAGTTTTGGCAAGCACACCCTAGATCCCATTATGAACTACTACAAGGTCCCAGCCAAAGTTGGTACCAAGCAGGACTTGGACCTCCTTCTTCCCCACTGTAGGGCACCACAGACTTTATGAGGGATGTTTGAACCAAGCAAGACGTCCTTTCCCCTCATCTACCCAATGGCCCACTTCCAATTTTCCTGCTAATCATACCTTCCCTGCTCCTAGCCTGACACTGACCCCTACATTCCCACCTCTGCCAAAGAGAACTCAGAACCCTTTCTATGGTGGGATCATTTTTGTGAGACTTATTAAGGCTAAGACTGGCAAAGGTACCAATATGGACATAAATGGACAAACAAAATGGCAGACACTTGAATGAGTCCTAAGGACTTCTGGGCCTTGCTGAACCTTGGGAACTCTGAACCTTTCTATTATCCTAATAGCTGAACTTATGAAGATATATATTGCCTTTCCAAGTTAAATTGTGTCTTCATTTTCTATTTGAATCCCTAGTGCTTAGCACATTGTTTGGCATATAATAAGCACTTTATAAATACTTTTTCATTTATTCCTTCATTCCTTCATTCAGGGCCTGAGTATTCCCCTTCAATATGAAGAATACTTTTTTTTTTAACGAGTTTTCTATTCTAGCATGGAAATAGAATTTTTAGAGGAAATACATCAAAAATAGGATCATAGGCCTTTAGAGCAGAAAGGGTATCTAAAGAACCTCTAAGCTGAAAAGTTGATAATTCCTTGATTTGCCTTAATGACAATTTCATCCTTCAAAAGTTAGAGAAGCCAAAAGGAAATGCTATTCCGTTTCTGATGATTTTGACTGACCAGGAGAAACTGGTTTACTAGGGTAGAAATGATGGGAATCTAGTGAGCCAGTAATTTACTCCTTCTGAGAATTTATGATAGAGGCAAGGAAAGTTGGGAACAATCTGAAATATGTCCTAGATTTGTGGAAAAGAGACGAGAGGATTCAGAGGACAGGTAGGATTGTAAGGACTAATATTCTACAGGGGAGGTCTGCTCCAAAGGGATGAGAAGTTCTAAAGATTGAAATTCTCAAGATACAAAGAGAAAGAATCCTGATAAGAAAACAAAAGTTATCTAAAGAGACTTATTGGATACACCAGGATCTCATCAACCAATTTAGTTTTATAAACATATATAAAATAGAAGGAAGGCATATAACTAAGGGTGAATAGAAAGGCTGTGAGAAAAGTGTCAGGCAAAAGAAGCTAAAGGTAATAAAATGGGGTGTTGCTTTTTAAAGCAACATTGGATCAAAGAATCAAAGAAGGGATGGCAAGAAAAAGATGCCTGATGAACAGAAGGAAGAATTGCTCAAGTTTTATTTTTCTTCTATTTTCTTTCTAAGGGGAATTATCTTTGGACAGAGAGAACAAAAATTATAAATATAAAGCTGATATTCAAGATAACTAAGAAGAAAAGAGAACATGGAACTGCCAAGCATGATTTCAAATCATCTAACCCAGATGAATTACATTGCTAGAGTATTGAAAGAAATGGCCAATGGTATTGCAGAGTCATTGTCCATGATCTTTGATGGTTTAGAAAGGTAGTGTGGGACTGGATAAAGACAAATGTTCTAATTTTCAAAAAAAGGAAGAAAACAGTCTGCAAACTATAGGCCAGTAAGCTTGACTTCAATTCCTTGCAAAATTCTAGAACACATCATTTATTTTTTTTATTTTTATTTAATTTTTAAATTTTATTTATTTTGATTTATCAACAATCACTTCCATATGCTTTTGAGTTGAAAAATTTTCTCTCCCTTCCTCCCCCCCACCCTCCCCAAGACGGCGCATAATCTGATATAGGCTTTACATTTACATACCCATTAAACATATTTTCACATTAGTGAAGTTGTAAGTAAAAATTAAAACCATTGGAGGGACCATCAGAAAGATAAAACAAAACTCAACAGAAGGTAAAAATAAGTGATAGCGATTTGACTTCCATAGTTCTTTCTTTGGATGTAGACAGCATTTTCCATCCAAAGGCCTCTGGAAATGTCTTAGATCCTCGTAATGCTTAGAAGGGTTCAGTTTAACAATCTTAAGTCATTGCATAACGTGGCTGGTATTGTGTACAAAGTCCTCTTGGTTCTGCTCACTTCACTCAGCATCAGACCATATAAGTCTTTCCAGGTTAGAACACATCACTTAAAGGAATGCCAGTGAATGTATTAAAAAAAAAATGAAGTAATCACAAAAAGTCAGTGTTACTACTTTAGGTTATGCCACTTTAACCCCAATGAACCCATGCTAGTCATATGCCCTGAGGAAGAATGATAAAAAAGAAAGGTCCCAAATACACCATAATATTGCTAGCATCACATCACTTTGAATTGCAGCAAAGAAGTGGAAAGAAAGTAGACGTGAAATTCTAATGACTAAGGTTCCCCATGCCTAACCCCCAAGGCTATGAAAAGACATTTGTTTCTTTGCAGAGATGGGTGATCATGGATGTGTGTGGGATATTGACTATATTGCCAGATTTTTCAATGTGTTGGATAGTTTTGCTGTGAACTGTTTTCCCCCTCCTCCCATGTCATTCTGTTAAACTGTATAACTGAGAGCTTTCTGTGAAGGGGAAGGATATATTGGGATAAGGTGATGTAGAAGCACACCATATCAATAAAATATATTAAAAATAGAAGAGGTCATGTCAGACTAGACACTTCTTTTCTGACAGAAGTATTAGATTGATAGAACAGAAGAATGCTATAGCTATAATTCATGTAAATTTTAGCAAAGCATTTGACAGTCTCCCATGCTATTCTGTGGAAACAATGGAGAGGAATGTACTAGACAATAGCACAGTTAGATGTATTTGGAACTGGTTGAATGGCCAGACTCAAAGAATAGTCACTAATGATTTGATGGATTTTGACTCTGTACTGTTTAATATCTTTTTTTTTTATCATTAACTTTATTACATACTGAGACGGCAGAGGTGAGGATAACTATACACAATGACTGGGTCAGGATTCAAAAAGACTCTCATTAGGATAGACCAGGGTTCTTAACTTGGAGGCTGTGAATTGCTTTTTTTTGGTTTGTTTTTATCAGATTGCCAAAGGGGTCTATGAGACAAAACAGGTTTAGAACCTAGAATATTGAACCAAAACCACTGAAATTTAATAGATATATAAGTATAAAGTCTTATATGTGGGCCCATCAAAAAAGCCCAACAAGAACATACAACAGAACACCTAAAAATAAGCCTAAAGTTTTAATGCATGATAAGCTTGATATGAGTGAATTATGTTTAATGAATGATGAGCTTGATATGGCTGCCAAAAAAATGCAAGGTAAAGTGTTAAGGACCAGGGAGATGACAGTCCCGCTTAACTCTGACCTAGTAAGACCATATCTAGGCTTTTGGGTTCAATTTTGGGACATTGATTAGCAAGAGGGTCCTCAGAGGAGGGTGACTGTGGTGAATTGACTCAAGTTCATGCTATGAAGAGAGTTAAAGGAATGAGATGTTTAGTCTGGAGAAAATTAGGAGAGAATACAAAGCCTCCCTTCAAGTATCTGAAGAGGTGTCATGTGGAAAGAACTAGATTTGATTGGTTTGGTTCTAGAGGGCAGAACTAGGAGCAATAGGGAGAAGTTGAGAAGAGGGAAATTTCCTTGACTGTTATGGGGAAAATCCTAACAGTTAGCAATATCCTCAACTGGAGTAAGCTGCTTTGGATAGTAGTAAGCTTCTTCTCACTAGAGGTCTTTGAGCAAAAGCTGATGACTACTTATCGGATATGATGTAAAGGGAATGCTTGTTCAGATGGCCTCCGGAGTCATAAAACTGTGATCTAGTCCAACTCATTTTACAGCTAAGAAAACAGACTCAAAAGATAAAGTGATTTCCCGGAGGTCCCACATATAGCTAGTGGGTGACAGAAATGAGAACAAAATCTCTGTTTCCTCATTCTCAGACCAGGATGCTTTCTATTTCATTACGCTAAAGTATAGTGAAGAATTAAATTTCCATCTGGGATACATCAACCAACTTGCAATTTATTAAGCATCTACAATGTGTCAGGCACTATGCTAAGTGCTAGAGATACAAAGACAAAAGTGAAACGATCCCTACCCTCAAGTAACTTACATTCTATTAAAGAAGCAACATGTATATCTATCAGTAAAAATAAAATATATAGAGACTAAACAAGGTGATTTTGTGGGGAAGTCACTGATAGCTGGGGTATTGAGTGGTTTCATGTAAAACGTAGCAAATAAATTACGTTTTGAATGAACCAAGGGATTCTAAAAGGTGGAGAAAGTGAGGAGGGAAGGCTTTTCAAGAAATGAGGGGCAGGGGAAGAAACAGGACTAAGACCCAGCAGCAAAAAAAGTGTAGTGTCATATATGAAGATGTCAACTGAAGCCCACCCCTCAAAATGCAGAGGTGTCCAAGCTGAGCTGAAAGCAGAAGTTTTATTAGGAGGAAAATCAGACACTAGTGCTGAGGCACCTCAGTACAAAGTACATAGAAGCCCCAAGCCCAAGAGAAACAGGGGAGACTCATGTTTGAAAATCACAAAGGGGAGGTTTAGGGAGGGGTTGGGAAAAAGAATGAACAATCTTTCCCAGGAACAGGTGGGAAACACAAACAGGATGTTCTGCAGAACAGCTGACTACAAGTCTGGTTTGGGTTAGTGTGTGTGTGTGTGTGTGTGTGTGTGTGTGTGTGTGTGTGTGTGTGTGTGTGTGTGTGTGTGTGTGTGTGTGTGTGTGTGTGTGTGTGTGTGTGTGTGTGTTGGGGCGGGGGAAGGGCAGAGACAGCTCAGCAAGGTCAGCCAGTGAATACCAGCAGAGGTGTCTGGGAGGGAGCAAGATTTTGGTTCATTGAAAGCTCCTGATTGGCTCCTTTAGCAAATAGGCTTCTTCTGTATTTGGTGCACCTGCCTGGTAAGGTAATTAACAGAAAACAGACATATCAATCTCAGGGGTACTTCCATATTCCCTCCCCCTTTTAGTCATGGAGGCCGCAGGGCCCACCTCTGACCAAGGAGGCTTGATCTGTTGCTACCCGGTGTGGTTTCCCCTTGCACAAATCCAACAAGATGATAGCTTGCCAGTTTTTGCTAGGGCTTAAAGCGAATCCTTAGGGGGTATTGGGTTACATCCCCTGCCTTAGCAATGGGGAAGGCAGAAAGTATGAACAAATAAAAGGGAGGAACCATGACAGAATTAGCAGGATCCAGCTTAACTGGATCACAGAGTGTGTGAAGGGTAGAAATGTATGATAAAGCTGACACGGTAGGTTAGGGCTGGGTTGTCAAAACTTTAGATGTCAAAGTGATGAACTGCTATTTGATATTAGGGATGAATGGAGATAACTGAGTAGGGATTGACATGTCAGAATGTCACTAACAACTCTATAATCTCAAGTAAGTTTACTTCACTTCTTTGAGCACTTCAGGTCTTTCATTTGTAAAATGAAGGTTGGACCAAATAATCTTCAAACCTCCATCTCTAAATCCTATAAATTTTCAATTTCAGATCCATTATCAATAAAATGAAGAGGGCTGGATCAGACAGCCTCTAAAAGCTCTTAATAGGACTGAAATTCTGTGAATCACAGGTATTCCATCATTGAACCACTGTTCCACTGATATTTGACATTCTCTGTCACCCAATCTTTTCAGAAGGTTGCTTTTAATTATTTAGCAGGCATCAAATATATGACGTGTCATTTTTTTCCTTTAAAGATAAGCTAAGTGATCATGTAAGGGGTGTCATATCTAGAAATTTGAACTTATGTGTACGAGGTTATTTTGTTTTATCTCTATGAGGCCCAAGAATTGGCTGGAAGATTGTGAATTAAACACATTTAAGTAACTCTCTTAGGTTTACAAAGTCTCTCTCCTTTCCCCCTCCCCCATGACCTTTTAAATTAGGCAGTATATTGACAACCTCATTTTACAGAAAACTGAGGTTCAGAAAAGTTAACTGATTGACTTTATATGGCAATTAAGTATCAAGAACCAGAATCTGAACCCAAAGCCACTGAGTTCTTTCTAAAATATCATGCTTCATTGAACATTAAAACATGAAAGACATGATTAAACTTAAATCTATGAGTAAACATGATTTCATTTCCTAAGTACCAAAAAAGATACATCTGAAAAAGTTTATAGATGCAAAGTTTATGTCAAAAGAGTTTATTGAAATAAGAGTGTATGTTTATATTTATACATAAAAATATTTCAAGCTCAATGCTGAAAACTACTACAACATTGCTGTTTGTCTGGTTAGTTAAATTACTTTTTTCTCTTCTACTTTACATACTTACAACGTATTTGAGCAATGATCTATATTTTCAAAATATTTCTGTATAAGTAGGAGGAAATGATTATCTTTTCCAGATGAAAACATTTCCTGACCTGGAGTCATTCATAAATTGTGAAATACTAAGTTTAGATGCAAAATAAAAAGAAAAATTTACCTTTTTCCCTTAAAGATTCCCACCCTCAACCTCCAATCAAACAGAAACCAGGCATAATCAACCCATACCATTATTTATAAGGGCTTAAAGAAGTGAAGGTGGCAGTGGACCATCCCAGGCCCTTAAGGCTAAAAAGTTCTACATCAGCCACATAATTCCTTTGAAAATTAACAACAGGTTATAAACAGTGAAACTTATTTCTCATTTTAACAATGTGTACAGTTGAAAATAAATGCACAGAGTGTTTCAAAAAAAAATCATCTGGAACACTTAAAGCAATGGTTTCCCAGGAAACTACGGCAAGCCCCTTGCATTTCAGAGACCACTGTAGCTCAAAGATGAAGTTTTCTTTTCCATCAGCTGTTATCCAGTCTTCATTCTATAAGTATCTTCTAAGGTAATTGTTTTTCTTTTTCAAACAAGTGACACAAGTTGACATTCCATTACATTGACAGCAAAACTCAGTTTCATTTTCTCCAGTACTAGAAAAAATTAAAAATAAACAAAAGAGGGAAAGCACTTAGTTTAAATGTTCATATACAATTATGAGATGTGAGGTTTGGAGTTCTAAAGCATGTGTTCAGGCAGATAAGGTCTTTAATGCAACAATTACAATTTGTATTACACACACACACACACACACACACACACACACACACACACTCCTCTACCTACCTGAAAAGACTCTGGCATGGATGAGCTACTTTTAAAATGCCTAAGTTGTGCTATGTGATTACAAATAACTGACATCTTTTTTTGCTGCATGTAGAAAAATGTTAGCACTGAAGCTACAGAATTTCTAGCTTCATGAGTGTTTATCAACTAAATAAGGAAATGAAGGAAGTGGCCAGTCTTAATTTTCATATCTTGTCTTTTATATACCAAGTTGAAACCTCAGTACTCCTGTTTGTTGAACTAAAATGAAGTAACTGTTCACGTGGAAAAGACCTGGGAGTTCTGTGCCCCTTTAAACCAGTCAAAAACTAATGAATAACTTTCCAGGAAGAAGAGGCAACTAGTCTGTATCATAAGAAGAACCAGCCTGTCCTGGACCCTACTTCAATTTTCATTTCCTTGGAAAAATTGGAGGGGGACACCTCTCCAGCCATTACTTTCTTCTACCCTTCCAAATCAGGCCTACTCCACAGACGGTGTGGCACATGACCAGGGGTGTTCAGCAAGGGATCAGAGTATAATTTGAAGGCATCTGCTTCCCTTTCCACCCAGAAACACATTGCTGCGAAAAATGGAGAGACTTGGAAAATGATCATTACAATTTTTATGTGAAACAGAAAAACTTCCAGTGTGGTCTCTCAGGGATGTGTGTTCCCTTTGGCCTTGTGATTTTTATTAGTGACTTGGATAAAAGCATGGATGGCATGCTTATCAAACTTGCATATCAAACAAATCAACTGATCAATATTACAAGCCTATGTGGCAGAAACTGTGTGAGATGCTGGGCTTACAAACATGACGAATGAACAATCTCTACTCTCAAGGAAATGCTATTCTGACAGGGAAGACAAGTCCATATATATGTATATACTGAATAAATAGAGAAAAGAATAAGGGTAGTTGGAGAGGGGAAGGTGGGTATCAGGAAAGACTATGTCAAAGGTGCTGGTGAAACTGCATCTTGAAGGGGGAGGGATTTTAGGAGGCTTAAGTGAGAAAAAAGAATATTCTAGGCAAGGATTGTGGCCAGTGCAAAGGCAGAGAGACTGGAAAGGGACTATTATGTATGAAGAACAGAAATGAGTCATTTCTCAGTCATGTCTGACTCTTCATGACCCTATCTGAGATTTTCTTGGCAAAGATACTGAAGTGGTTTGCCATTTCCTTCTCCAGCTCATTTTACAGATGAGGAAACTGAGGCTTAAGTGATTTGCCCAGGGTCACACAGCTCGTGTTTGAGGCCAGATCTGAACTCGGGAAGATGAGTCTTCCTGAATTCAATCCTAGCACTTCATCCACTGTCCCATCTAGCTACCTTTTGAGACAGGAAGTAACATATAATAAAGCAGAAACATAATTTGGAGAAAGGTTGTGAAGGGCTTCAAAAGATAAAACAGGAGTTTGTATTTTATTTTAAAAGGTCATGGTAAACCCCTAGAGTTTACTGAGTGAAATGGTCTGATTTGTACTTCAAGAAAATTATCTTGGCACCAGTTTGAAGAACAGACTACACTCAGGAGAGAATGATGGCAGGAAGAGCAATAAGGCAACATCAAAATGACCTAGACAAAATGATGCACAGTAGGGACTGCTAGCTAACAAACTAGATCAAGGATTTTGGGTGTGTGTGTGTATATGTGCATGTGCGCATGCTATGCACCAAGCCCTCTGGCAGTCTGGTGAAGTCCATGGATCCCTCAGAATGTGCTTTTTTTTTTTTTCAAACTTATAATTGAAGAAAATGATAAATTTCTGTTAGAGGTCAGTGGAAATGAAAATCTATATTTTCTCTCATCTAAGTTCATTACTCCTTGGGGTTAAAACCCCTGACCAGACAACAATCAAGACATAAAAAGATCTTGACAATCTAGAACATTTTAAAGTACAACTTCATTAGTACCAGATGGCATAGAAAGTATGGCTAGATAACAATTCATTAAAAAAAAAAAAGGCCAGGGACTTTACTGTAACATAAGTATAGTCAAATTTATGACATCATGGAATGAATCAAGAGAAACATGGCATCCAGGAATAAGGATATGATAGTTCCACTATATAATGCTATGGTCAGAGTTTTGTCTTCAGTTTCAGATGACACATTTTAGGAAGAACATTGTTAAGTCATAGAGCATCAAGAATGGCAAAACGCCTTGAGTTCATGTTACGTGAGTATTGATTGAAGGAATAGGGGAATGTTTAGTTTTAAGAGAAGACTTAAGTGGGATAGGATAACTAAAGCATCCTGTTAGGAAGAAGAGTGAATATATTGGCTCTGCTTAGCCCCAGAAGACAGAACAAGAAGCAACAGGTAGAAATTGAAAACAGACAAATTTAGGCATCATGAACAAAAACTTTCCCATATTTAAAGCTATTTAAAGTAGATTGGGGTAGCTAGGTGGCTCACTGGATAGAGTGCAGGGCCTGAAGACAGGGAGACTCATCTTCCTGAATTCAAACTTACTAGCTGTGTCCCCTGGACAAATCACTTAACAATGCCTCAGCTCTTTATCTGTAAAATGAGCTGGAGAAGGAAATGGCAAACCACTCCAGTATCTTTGCCAAGAAAACTACAAATGGATCACAGAGAGTCAGACATGACAGAAAAATGACTGAACAACAACAAAAATGGAATGAGTTGTATTAGGATATAATAAGTTTCTTCTCAGTAGACATTTTCAACCAAAGGTTATATGATTACTTGTTGGTTATACTGCAAAGGGGATACTTATTCAAGCATTAATTGAACTTTACTAAACAGTCATTATAGTCCCCTCCAATTCTGAAACTCTGTGATTCCACCAAACCCTCTTCAATAATAATAATAATAATAATAATAATAATAATAATAATAATAATAATAATAATAATAATAATAATAATCATGATAGCTAATATTTATATAGTGCTTATTGTGTGCCAGGTACTGTGCTAAGTGCTTTATAATTATATTTCATTTGATCCTCACAACAACCTTGGAAGGTAGTTGGTATTATTTTCGTTTTACAGACGGGGAAACTTGAGGCAAACAGAGGTTAAGTGACTTGCCCAGGGTTACACAGCTAGTAAGTGTCTGAGACAGGATTTGAACTCGGGTCCTCCTGACTCCACTCTGTCACTTTGCTTCCCCGATTCTGGAGAGTCTTAGCCTATAAATACTGTATATACTAGGGACTGTAAATATAGGAATTCATTTCATGGATATATTTCGTTAATTTTCTGATACACATTTTACATGTGCTTCCTTTCCAATAAAAACAGATTGGGGAAAAAAGCAACAGAAAGAAAATAAATAAATACTTGGCAGTTTTAGGGCATTACAAATTCAATATGAGCCATTGATGGATAGTGTGATGTAGCATGACTGCCAGAAGTAAAAACTTACATTGCACTAAAAGAAGTATGGAATGTAGACTCTGGGAGGATCCTAATAGTCCCAATGTACTACATTTGGCATTTTGTCTGACCCTTATGAGGACACTTACCATTATATTTTGTCTTACCCTCTTATGAGGACCAAATAACATAACAGATATAATTTTCAAACCTTAAAGCACTATGTAAATACTAGATACTATTATTATCTACTAATCTTAAGAGACATACAGATGATTGACACCTTTTGGGGATTTTTGCAGAGGGAAGGTTCCATCAGGTCTAGGTTGAATTAGATGGTCTCCTATGTTCTAACTCTGAGATTCTACCCAACTAGAGAACTTTCAGAAGAGGTAACCAGGATGGTGAGGATTCTTAAAGGCAAATCTTATGAAGAGTACTTGAAAGAATTGAGGAAACTTATCCTGGAAAAGAAGAAATGGTCAGAGAAATAGATGTCTTCAAATATTAGAAAGGCTGTCCTGTGGAAGAAGGATTTGATCCACTGTGTTTAGTTTCAGAGAGCAAAACTTGTTTGGACCAGTGGGTAAAGGCCTCACATTTTGGCCCATACTCATCTGGTTGAAATTCGTCGTAACTTTTTAGCAGAAAAAATTTCAAATCTTTTTCCAATTACAGGGTTTTATTTGGAATTATAAAAAATGTTACTTGTAGAACTTTATTAGATAATGTGTTTATATTTATCAGAAGTTGTAAAATCACTATAGAATAATTTTAAATTACAGTCCATTAAGAAAATACCTTTTAACAAACAATAATTTGCAACATTTTCCTGTCCATCAAATATGAAGATGATACCATTAATTTATCACTATTAATACATGCATTGTAGTACTTTTATAGTTGAGGATAGGGGTCGACATTTAACCTTTTTCTTTTTCAGTCTCCAAAAGTGACAGCTAATTTTGAGATATTTAATAGGGCACTGAAGGTAGAATTTTGTGTTAAATATTGTTTTATTTTCATTAATGCTTTAATAACCAAATAAGAGAAAACCTGATCAGAGATCAGCAACATCAGCAACTCCTCTCTTCTCTCCCATAATCATCTTCTTCTGTCCCTTGATCCTCTTAGTGGAAAGTCTCTATTCATCTTCGATTAAAACAATGGAGGCTTTTACTGAGAGCTCCCATTTCCCCCCTTTCTGACACCAGCAACAGCATCTTTTGTTATCTCCTCCTCAACAATTCCTGGTGAAGAGGTGGCCTTTCCTTCCATTTTCTCCAAACAGAATGTTCCCCTAGTATCTCCAGCTATCTCTAGTCTTCAATTTCTCTCGATTTACTAGTTTCCTTACTGCTGCCTACAAATATGTCCATCTCTACTATCCTTAAAAAAAACAAAACAAAACAAAAAAAACCCCTCCATATATTTTTATATCTCTTCACCCCTTTGCAGCTAAATTCCCTTGAAA